CCTCAAATGCTTTTACTTTGTTTCAAAAAATTCCCAATTAGTCTCCCTGACATCAGACCTGCTAAATTCATTTTCTCCATTATTGTTAGAATTATTTTCAAAAATCTAAATCTGATTATGTCATTTCCCTGCCTAAGAGCCTCTAATATTTCTTTTCTCTAAGGAATTGCCTTTTATGGCACACTAACGTATTGACTTAAAATAGAATCAACTTCTTACACGGAGTAACATCTGCTACCTTTCTCATTTACTTCCTGCTACTCTCCTCAAAGTAGCACAGCTTTAATTAATACCATGCTTATTATTTCATGGGCCAGCCTCTTTGATGAGGCCTTCGGGTTTCTATCTGTTTCCTGTTTAAGTACATGTTCCTTATCATCTTAGAAAATTCCTTGTCCTTCAAGACCAACCTCCTCATGATACCTTCCCAAAGTCAAAATCAAATACCCCTCTGTGCTATTAAGAGAACTTTATTCATAGTATCTATCATGTCAAATTTGAAATTACTGAGTTGCAATTACTTTCTCCAGGGAAAGGATCATTTCTGAATAGAAATCAAATTTGGTGTGTTATCCAGTACCTGGTACATTGTAGGCACTCAATACATATCATTGAATGAATAAATGATAACTAAAAGTATCATTCTTACAATTTACAAGGTCTTTTCACATACTTAACTTATTTTCATAATATGTAAGCATAGGATTGGATACAAGAGGCTGTATTCTTATTATTATTACTATTATAAACTAAAATTTATTAAATTCTCCAACATTTTACCCAATTGCAGAGCTTTAAAATACACAAATAACCAATATTTTAAAAAATAAAGGCAAGAGTGAGCACATGGCTCATGTTTTAAGAACAAGGTAATTATACAGATCATGATAATTACCTGTGGTTATCAGTAAATACATTGCAGCTTGATAATTGTATGCTAGATTCAGATTAGAATGCTTCTTTAATTTGCCACACAAGCTGCTATTTAGAGAGTCAGGCTAAAACCTGGAATTGAAGGAACTCTTAGGAATTATGGTAGCATTTCCAAGTCATTGCGATTTCCATCCATTTCTTTCACGTGGCAATAATAATCAATTCAGTTAAATAATTCAAAATCAATAGGTTCTTTTATTTTCCTGAATTCCTTGAAAACAGTTGAGCCAAATTAATAAAGATAGTTGATTTGAAATCTAGAGCAGTGTTTATCAAAACATAATGACTTATGAGTGGCACATGAAATTAATTTAGTGTCACTCCAGCAATTTAAAAAAAGGAATAGAATAGAATTAAAAAATACTAGAGCAGTGGTTCTCTACCTTCTGGCCCTTTAAATACAGTTCCTCATATTGTGACCCAACCATAAAATTATTTTTGTTGCTACTTCATAACTGTAATATTGCTACTGTTATGAATCATAATGTAAATATCTGATATGCAGGATGGTCTTAGGCGACCCCTGTGAAAGGGTTATTCGACTGCCAAAGGGGTCGCGACCCACAGGTTGAGAACCACTGTACTAGAGCATGCTGTATCAGATAAGAGTATGTTGTTTTGTGAAATCTTTTGTTTCAACTGTATGTGTGTGTGTTTACTGGGTTGTGATGTAAAAACTATTTCCCACTGTGGTATATATTTCCCATTGATTGGGTCAAAAGTTTGAAAGCTACCACCTTACAGGACACAGAGCAAGTGGGATCAAGTGTAAGTAGCCACTTAATAAAAATTGGTTTAATAACTTGATAACATTGTAATCATGTCCCACTTGGAGCCCCAAACCCCAATTACATAATCATAATCCCCAAAGCATAATAAACGCCTGATTCATTCACTAGACTTGGCTTTAAATAATATTTAATTATTTCCAAAAGTCAAACCTGTCTCTAAGAGATGAACATTCACTACCACAGAAACTTTGCAGAAGAATGGGCCGTAGTCTGAAGTCGATAACAAAAAAGTAGTTTGAAAATTACTCTTAGCAAAAGCAATCACTAAAATTGGACTCAGATCACTATTTTCCAAGGATGCTCCTGGCATTTCTGTTCACATACTTATCACATTGGCTTATAATCTAGACTTATAATAGGGTAATATGCAAATTGGTTGGGACGCCATCACATAATGACCCATCAGCAGGAGGGCGGGGCAGCGAGCTACTCATGCACGGATTCTTGTGCAGGGCCACTAGTTATTATATCATTTTCTCTCAGTGAAACTGAGCCCTTATCATACAGAAACCTTATTTTATTATTTCTGTATAATTGGTGCCTTTGCATATATTGTCTAGCACATAGAGACATTTAATAAATGTTTGTCAAGAAGACAGTACTCATTTGGATAAATACATGTTCTGAGACTTAATGAGTGACTCCAGGTCAGAGCATATGCTACGGCTATTCATGTTTCCTGTCCACTTAAAGAATATACTTCTCAAAGTCTCTCAGCCTACAAAACAGAATTATATTGGAATTTAAAATCCATAACTTTTTAAATCAAAGCATTGCAATTTAAAACAAAATGAGGTGTTATTTTGACACTAAATTATCATGGATGCAAGCAGGAAAATGAACACTGTCAAACAATGTTTGTGATTGGGAAAACCGAAGAAGATAGTTTGAAAATACATATCAAAAATCTTTAATATACTTATTTTTTATGAAGAAATTTTGCTTCTAGTTCCTTATTCTATGGAAAAATTAAGACTGCAAAACTGGACACAAGGATATTAATCTCAGTGCTGTTTTATAATAGGTAAAAATGTATAATACTGGAAGATTAATGATGGAAATTATGGTGATTCTCACAATAGAAAGTATGCAGCCATGAAAAATAACAATGTTCAATTATATTGGCATAGAAAAGGGCTTAGAAAATATCCTTCAAAAAGCAGGTAATGATGCTGTAAACTGCAGAATACAATATAAATTTTTTTGTGAGGTGAAATTCACATAACATAACCATTAAAGTGAACGGTTCAGTGGCTATTTAGTACATTATTGGTCACTTTATTGGCCAACTGCCCCCTCTGTCTAGTTCCTAAACATTTTCATTAGGCAAAGGAAACCTGTTGTACATGTTAAAGCAGTTGCTTCCCATTTCCTCCTTTCCCATCTGTGTTCTGTCTCTATGATTTACTTATTCAGGAAATTTCATATAAATGGAATCATACAATATGTGACCTTTTGTGTCAGGCTTCTTTCACTTTCCATAATGCTTTGAAGGTTCATCTGCCTAGTAGCAGTACTTTATTTTTTATGGCTGAATGCTATTCCATTGTATGTATATGCAACAATTTATCTGTTCATTGGTCAATGGGCATTTGGGTTGTTCCCACTCTTTGGCTATTGGGAATGGTGTTGCTGTGTACATCGGTGTACTGCAGAATCATTTTAACGATACAAGTATCGACTGGCAGAGAGAATAAATTCAGGGATATCAGCAGTCATTTTTGGGGGGGTTACAGACAAATCTTTTTATATTATTAAGAGCTCCGGGCTTTAGAATTAAACAGACCAGACTCAATTTCTTCACATGTAAAATGAAAAAAATAGAATGTTAAATAAAACTGGATTATTGTGAAGAGTAGATGTAATATATCTAAAGTACTTAGAGATACGTGGGGGCACAGTGTGAGTACTGAATATATAGTATTTTTCAGATACTTTATTTATTCTTGCTACATTTATTTAAAAGTTCTCCTAACAGAATAATAATGGTGTTAAGCAAGTTTTTTTTGTTTGTTTTGCACGTGTATTTGCATGCTACACACTTAAGGTGCATGTTCCTCTTTGCTGATAGTCAGTTGGGCTGGTGCCAGTGGAAGGCTGTCCCATTGTTTGCCCCATAACACCGTATAGCTCTACAAGGCAACTCTCCCTCCGAGTTTCAACTAAAATGATACTCCACTCGCATATTCCCCAGCCCTCTGGCAAAGCTCTTCTCCCATTTCAGTCTTTGTTTCAGCATTGCTTCCGAAGGTGCATATGCAACCATCCAGGTTGTACCTCCCAGGAGCTGTACCACAGGGGCGGGGGGTCGGGTGCGGGCACTGGCTTTCTCGTGCACAGCTAGGAAAATGCTTTGCGATGAGGTGTTTCCACAATATAGAACTTCCTCCGGAACCCCTCCTTGTACTCGCTAGGAAATCTCAAATGTTATTTTTCATTGTGAACTAAACGAAGACTTTTCTCCAACTCTGCACAGCATAGGGTTCCGGTCCGGAGGCCGCAGGGGGCCTCCCCGGTATGGGGGAGAATTCGCTCTTCATCCCTGAGCAGTCCCGGTGAGTGAGCTCGGCGGTCAGCTTGGGGCCAGCGCGGACTCGAGGAGAGATCGCGTTACGAAGCGCCTGGCACACGTTCCCCTAGAGTGCTGTGTGGAGCGAACCCGGAACCCCCATTTTTGTTTTTACCGGAGTCCTGCGGTGATGGGGGGTTCCCAGCCCGCCGGACCCCCTCTTAGGTGTCTCCAGG